TGAGATGGCCTGGATTGGAAAATATTGAGATGAAGGCTATGCCTTGTTAATGCCTCTATTAATTGGAAAATTTTTGAGATGAGAGTTCTGCTCCAATGGTACCACAGGCATTTTCATAGTATTGAGTCACATTATATGATTTCATAAAGAAGTGTATTTTAATGTTGATGAATGCCTACTATTGGTGAGATTGTTGTTGATTATGAGATGAGAAGTGGTGATGTTGTTGATCTAATTTAATATATTAATTATCACGCACTTTATTATATTTTTAGATATCTCACCCCTTCTGTTTTAATGTTGCCCTTATGTTGGTAACGTGCAGGTAATCGAGAGTGAAGGTTGTATATCTTCGGTAGTTCGAGTCAGTGTCATTGCTCTGATATGTAACACTCAGGGGGATGAACGCTTGCTGTTTTTTATTGTTGATTTTCAGTTGTTGAATTTTAATTTGATTATTATTTATGAGACATTTCGAAGTTGCTGTTTTGTTAGAGATGTGGGATTTTTTCTGTCCGTCGGTTGCATTTGCAGCCAACTCAGGAACACCGTCGGTAACCACTTCTAGAGTTTCATAGAAGCCAAACAAGGATTGCATCTGTTTTTCCATCGGATCCAATTTTTTCCTTCAAGCATTGGAAGAGAACTCGGAATATCCTTATCACTAGCCATCTTCGCAGCGGTTGATTTACTTGCCCTAGAAAAATGATCTATGACGTGAAATTCTTGAAAACTTGATCAAGAATAATAATCAGAAGCTCTGGATACCAATTTGTTAGTGTGAGGCACTTTTAGTGAGGAGGGAAAGAGAGAATAATAAAGGAAATAAGTATTTGTATTATTCAAGTGTATAAAATAATGATACACACTATGACTATTTATATACAACCCTAATTGGGCTTGGGCTAACACAACTTGGATTATATTAAATATTAAATCTAATCAAATCAAATCTAATCTAATTTAATATTTTAACAGGTTTACCATCAATTATATTTGAACAAGAAAATAATCTCACACTAGTCATGGTACCATCATATTTCCATTTTAAACTTTTTGAATTATATCTTGGCTTAGAGTTGACCTTATTGATTCATGCAATTGACTAAAAGTATCATGATAAAGTTCAAATATAACCATTGACTTATGCATACTAAAAAATAACAAAATGATACAAACTTGATTCAAAAGAAGAGCAATAATGATGAAGACTCAATATAAGATAATAAATTAAAGTGATAAGATAAACAACAAAATAACTGTATTGGGGGTGTTCCCCCTGCATGTGTTAGAGACATGCAACAATCTCCCCCTAGAAATATGTAGCTTCAATGATTAGAATCACATGGTTTTTGATTCAATTCAAGACAAATTAGATTCAAATCATATGATTCTTGATTCAAATTATGATAAATTTAATGCAACTCACATGATTCTTAATTCTAATCAAACAATCATAAATTGCATGATTTTTCTCTTTATTCGAATCAGAAATATCTTGATTCAAATCAAGGTATCAAAAATCTTGATTTTTACATTCTTACAACAAAAAACTCAATCATTAACATACCACATACTTCCTAATTATACCATATAACCTTGTCATTTCGTATCAGCAATTAACATGTTAAAGGATCCTAAATCTTAGCATGCAATTATCATATAATTCTTATCATCTAGTCATGATCTTGATAGAATTAGGATATCAAAATACACCTCGAAACATACCAATTTTTCATCTCCTGAATCCACCAAACTCTAAATCTATCATGCATTCACTTGTATTAAAACTCAAACTTTACTCTATTACATGAAAGATTAATATTCCAATATAAATTCAAGATCAAAGTCTAAGGGAGGGGAAACCGATCTTAGTAATTAAAGATGATGATGATCTTCAAGCTTCTTGTTAACCTTCCCAAATTCGTGTGCAATTTGAAGCCAATGACCTTCCTTATTCCTCTTCCATTCCTCTTAATCAATTATGTTTTCAATTAAGTTCTTCCTTCTCCACCAATGATCACTGAATCCTCCTTTAAATGATGCTCATTGTGATGGATTGATCTTACATGGAAGAAGGGTGGCTTGTATGGAAGATAATTTCTTTCTTTACTCTTCATTACAAGTGTGAAAGGAGGAGGATGGTATGAGAGGAGAAAAGAAAATTTAAATAGAATTATGGTTTCTATCAATGCATTCATATAAGTTAGGAAGCATGAAGACTGTTATGCCCCTCACTTAAACAAGTGAAATTACCATATTGCCTTTGCTTCATCAATCATCTCTATTTGGCCTTATTTGGTCTTCATTAATTACTTGACTTAATCACTTCCTTAAACACAACTTCAACTTATATTAACTTAAGTTACCATGAGAAATCTTTTAGAATTGACCAATGTGCCCTTTATGGTAAAATGATTATTTTACCTTTAACCTGCAAATTCCATTAACTTAATGAAATGGTTGGTCTTAAAATCAATGAATTGGTCTAGGATATTACAATATGGGTGAAGATAATGTGTACTATTATTAGGATAAAATGTGTAGAATATATGAAGAAAAGTTCATCCTGGATCCTGAAGCTCATGAAGGCTTTGTTTTATGAAAACCGTCTCCTGACTCATCTGTTGGTGAAAGGTTGACCTCCATGTCAAATCCTAAATTCGTGATTGCTTTGCTATATTGGCTCCTAATGTGCAGTCTCTAGAAAAGAGTCAGGAACTCGGGCCCATGCTAAAGAAGGTTGTCTCATTGTTGTGTTGGTTTCAGTCATCTTCAGCTTAGGTTTCAAACATTGCTTTTAATTTCACAAATTTCACTGTTTTTGGGTTTGTTATAGTTTCAGGGTTTTCCATTGTTTTTGGAATTGAAAATAATCTTTTGGTTGGAGCTTGATATATCTGTGATTTAGTAGACATTTTTTCAATTATGTTTCTATTAATATATTTTTCCTTCTAATTTATATTTAACTTATCAATAATCATGATATTTGTGCGTTTTCTAAGTAGGATGAATGCATGTTTAATGTTTTTGTTGTTCTTTGCATTTTTTGTCATATTATTTCCTCTCTATTTTTTATATTTGTCAAACGGATAGAAGCTTATGAGATGTCTTAAATGTTTACACACGTTACATGTTGAATGCAGAGGGAGTTTAAGAACTTCAAGTTATTTTGTCCGCTGCTCAATGAGGAATCAAAATATCCAAATTTTCAAACATCAAAAAGGGTGAGACTTTAACTGCTTTATCGGTAACAATGTGATTTCATCTACATTTTAATGTTTTCTCGCATTTTAGATCTTTTTCATTTATCATTTATTGTAGTTGATGTAGCTCATAGCTATCCATAATTCTCGCTTAATTTGAAATCAATCCAATGTTATTTTAGTTGAGAAAATTGATTAAAGTCAGTTATGTATGACTTGAATCATAAGTTATATGAATTGAAACAATATTTTATTTAAGATTGAATTGAGTCATTACTTTGTCTGACCTGAGTCATGAGTAAATGGGAAATTTAAAATTTGGCGTTAAAAGGCTTGATTTGATTCAAGGTCTTGCGTGACTCAAATCAAAGGAACTTTGACTCGAGTCATAATCATGTTTGACCCGAATCATGAATGTATTCAATCTTTTGGAATTCAATTATGCAATAGTAAGTCGAATCATAATTTTGCCTCACTCAATCACACACACAAATCATGACTCGAGTTACTCTTTCATATGCCAAATCTTGATTTTATCATCATGATTCAAATCACTTTTTTATTTGATTCATATCATAATTTTGGCTTCTGACTCGAATCATATGGCTAATTTTCCATATATATTGTGTCTTATCTCTAACACATAAAATCAAATTTTCTCTCTCTAGAATAAGATTTCAACAATTTAGCTTTGTAAAAAATCATTCATGTTTGAAAAATATTTTTTCATTATCTCAAAATCTTTAAATAAATAAAAAGAAAAGTTTTGTCAATCACACAAACTTTCTTTCAAAACAACTTTGAAGAAAAACTTTTTTAATGAGTTGATTTCTTAAGTATAAATAAATTTTGTGAGATTCTTCAAGAAAACTTTATCTTCAACAAAACTCATTGTTGTAGTTGCTCAACTCTCCGTGTGAGAGTGTGAGTGAAAGTTGTAAGCTACATTACGGGATTATGGTATTTTTGTGAAGTTTATTTTTGCTTTTAGATTAAAGAAAAAGAGTACTTTTTCTCAAAAGGAAATTTTGGAGATGGACATCCACGGAAGAAAATGAGTACTTTCTTCTCAAAGGAAATTTTGGTAGGATTGAGTAAAGATCAATGCGAACGAAATTTTTGAGTTTCTACTTCATCAATTCAAAAACTCGGACAAGGAAATTTTGATAGAATCGAGTGAATATCATTGCGAACAAAATCTTAGAGTTCTTTAGCTCTAAAAAGGTAGTTGGCTCAAAATAGAATAAAGATCTTAAAGAATTTGCTATCTAGTGTGTCACATACAACAGAAGCAAAATCAAAATTCAAATGTGTCTTGCTTAGTTGTTGGATTTAAGTTTTCTAGTTTGTTAGTAATTATTTGTTGAATCGAAATACATTTGTTATAATTTCAAATTAGTGCAGACAACAATGGCGCATTGAACCAGTATAAATACTGCCTTATAATTCTCTTTATCCCTCTATTTTAATTTCTGCAAAGTTTTCATTTTCTTACGGATTATCACTTTATTTGTTGTCTATAGCATTTTATTGTTTAACCTTAGGTTTGTGTTAAGATCTTGTCTGTTAAATATTCTCTTTCGCAATTACATATGTAGAAACTTATAATATTAGATTTTTAGTTCCATAGATAAAATTTTATTCTAACATCTTGTGATGAATTGAATTTTATTAATTGACACATTATTCGTATCATAGTTGATTTAATTCTAAAACATATGAGTGAATTGAATTGAACAGTGATTTTCATTCCTTTTCACTCTAAAGTAACAACAAGACAAACACAAAGAAAAACTAGCGAGTAAAAGCATAGACAACAACAGTAACATAAACCAGAAGCGCAACAGGAACAAAGATGAAAAGCGGAACAACAGCCGCTAAAGTGTGTTCACTACCACAAGCAAGTGTTCCAAGCTTGATCTGAACAACATTCGCAAGAGCAAGCATAAGAAAAGCACAACCAGTGACAGATCCAATCCCTGAAACAAGCATACCGAGGCGGAGAACAGATCTGTTAACATGAGCTACAGCGGCGGAAGTGCGGGAGAGACGGATAGCTTGTTTGAGTGCGAGAGCGACGAGACTGGAGAAGAGGAAGGAGCTGAAAGAGTAGACATGGAAGGCGACGAGGTTCTCGGCGATGGCGGCGGTTGGGATGCAGTTGGGATCTGAATTTAGGTTGTCGGAAGGGTCGTTAGGGTTGAAGGATAAGCCGATGAAGACGCCGAGTGTGAAGAGAGAGTTTACGTTTGTTATGGCGTCTAAGGCTGTGATGTGGACGCTCGTGAATGATGATGATATTGCCATTTTTATTTCTGTGATTTCAGTTTCTAGGGTTTTCTTTCGCACTGCTAACTAATGAGTTATACAAACTTTTCTTCGCTTCAAATTTTATGTTTTATGTTTTCAAACTTAACTCTAATTTTGACACTTTCCAAAGATTCTTCAAACAGGGCATTTGGTCTAGTGGTATGATTCTCGCTTAGGGTGCGAGAGGTCCCGAGTTCAATTCTCGGAATGCCCCAAGTACATAACTTTTGTCCTATTTCTCAAATTTTGCTGAAAAGCCTTCCGTTGCTACAGTTTTTTTTTTTTGTCTTTGTAACGTTTCTAATGCAATAAGTTGCATGCTTTTTATTTTATTATTACTGGAGTTTTATGCCTGTTTTATTTTTATTTTTATTATTATTATTGGAGTTTTAATACTATTAATTGAAAAAATACGGGTGTCAAAAATTGGTCGGACATGTCCTATTTGCTTTTTTTTCTTTTTTTCTTTAGGGACCAAGATTTTAGATTAATATTTTCTAATATGTTCCCTAGGTCCTCATTTTTCGGTTGGCGGTCCAAAATTTTAAATTTTCATATGTTTCGCCTTATTTTTTATGGGTTTTTGCAAGAATAGACCTAAACAAAATAGATATGTCTTTTATAATTTAAAAAAAAAAATTTTGAGAATTTCTTAACACACTCTATATTTTTCTAGTGTATCGTGCGAAAATACTTAAATGTTTATAATTTTCGGAGATACATTCAGGATGTGATAAAAACACAATTTTTCGAAGATATATTTAGGTATCAAACCGCTTTTTTATTTCTGGAAAATTTCAACACCATTGATATTATAAAATAAACAATACTAAAGGATTTTAACATAGATCAAACAATACACTTCAACATCCAGGTAGACGTTGCAACATCTTGATAATATCATCGACTGATCTCGAAATAGTCGCACCCAACTCGATCAGAGCTTTTGATTCTAAACAGAAAAAGGTTTTCCATATAACCCGTAAATCAACGTCTGTCTTCAGCTCATGGTTTGTAAACTCAAGCTTTCCTTCTTCATCAACTGATGGGAAACTGTACTCGATCATCACTATTTTTTCCGATTATCACCATATGGTAGGAGCTCTTGCAATATGTATTGCAGATCTTCAAGAGGGGCGTATTCGTTGACCTTAAATTTTCGGGATGGTGTACTATCGGTAAAGTGAACATTTCCAATATGTCATTTGATGTTCATGTTGGTTTTTTGTGTTTTGATACGAAACAAAACCACAAATGAGCTTATTTATAGTAGTGGGATGATATTATGGACCATACAAATCTTATATGCTGACAGAGAATGTACCAGAGATGTAACTCCAGTAACACCCTTAATTTTGTACCGGAGATGTATCTCCAAAAACTTCCCTGATATTAAAAATCAAAAAATAGAACAAAAACATAAGTACATAATTGTCTTGAATGCTGGTATTTTTAGACAAACTACAAAATGCTTATATTCCACAGCATAATACATTAACAAAATATCATATACAATAAAATGATAAATAATTACTTAAATGATCCGAAATAATTTTCTCCTGTCAAATCTATAGGTGATACCCCCTTTGACTTTTCCTTATTTTTTTTTTCTATTTCAATATTGTTAAATTCGGCGTACTCTTGCATCCTTTCAATAAATTTGTTCGGCCAAGTCTCGATTTGGATCGTATAATGATTCACCCATTACGGTGATATATGATTCACCCATTACGGTGATACGATCATTGGGAGTTGATGGTGGAACAGTGCGTAGTGGGAAAAAGTTTCTGAGAAACTGTATCTTGTAAGATTAATACACACTCTCTCATACGCATTTGTTATGAGATAACTCATCTCAAGGAAGCGCATTCATTTTTCCTCTGGTGCAAATCCACTAACGTATGGTACAAGAGCGTTATAAATCTCTTCAACTTTTTCTTTAGTCCCGAGCACCTGTGTGTATAATTCTGTATTTCTCCTCAACTATATGATAAGAGTATCACAGACAAGTTGGTGATCCTCTTCCCTTTTACCAAGCAAACCAGAAACAACCCGAAAACCACAATTACCGTCACCCTTAACTTTGGAGATTCGTTCAATGTATTTGTACATAAAAATTGGCATCTCCTCGATGAATGGTCTTTTTGGTGGAGTCGGTGTAGGAGGTGGTTTACTAATGCACGCTCCTTTGAAAAAACTTTTCTGAGATTTCGGAGTCAGTGAATCGGAAAAAATTTTGTCAACGTGTTTAAAATATGATGGACTCCTTGTTGGTGAATTGTCACCCAGTGTAGGTTTCACCTTCTTAATTGCTCCTTTAATTTTTTATCGATTGAGAGGGCGTTTTCAAGTCGATGGTCTCCGGGAATGCAATCTTCCTCAATTCCTCTTTGATGTGGAGTTTTATGTTGTCATCAGCTTTCATAAATCTTTCTTGTATCGTTTCCCATTTAGCTAGGATGGAGATATTTGATTTACCCTCTTTCATAACACCATCATCTTCAAAACTAAGTCTCTTCCAATGACTGTAGACCCCATTCATTCGTATTTGGCAATCAAGTTTCACTTTCTTAGATATGACCCAAGCACATGGGAGACCATATGTTTTCATAAGTGTGAAACCACACTTTGAGCTATCAGAACCTACATTAGAAGCTCGTTTGGCTTTGTGAAAAATATAATTCAGAGTTGATCAAGATATGTTACTGACCATCTGAGGATATAGAGGGTTGTCTTTGAACCTATGTTCCAACACTGTGATACTATGACCAAATGATGTTTGTATCTCATTATGATGGTTTAGTATCATTTGGTTCACAAATTCCTAATCCGCACACAAATCACCCTTGCTATTTTCCAACCAATTCTTCAGACAACCATGAGAAGACTTAACTCGGTTTATTGTTCGATCCAAGCATAAACAATCTTCTCCTTTACTTGGTCCAAAATTATGCTTTCAACATTTTTCAGTAAATCAGTATATTTCACGCTCACCTTTCTGAAATGTGTAACAACATCAACATATAGCTATTTTGTAGATGTATTTATTATAACATTCTATGCATCCATAATTTTCTCCATAATAATGTCCGCCTTGACCAGTTTTCCATCTTCACTTGCTATTTGTTTTGTCCCTACCGCGAGTTTAACACGACTTCTCACATTCTTAGTAATGTGATAACTACAAAATAATGCATAAGAAATGGGAAATACCATTGCAACTGAATTCATTAATGTGGTATCTCGGTCGGTAACAATGACTTTCAGAATATCTTCTTGGTCCTTCAAGATTGACTGACAGACCTCTAAGGCCCATGCAAAGTTATCCTCTTTTTTGAACTCTAGAAATGCAACACCAACATAATACTTCTTCCCAGTTGACGTAACGCCAACAATTTCCAGCAATGGAAGTCTGTATTTGTTGGTCTTATACGTTGAATCAATTATAAGTATAGTGGGAAACATATTGAATAATTTAATGAAATTAGGATGAGTCTAATATATATATATATATATATATATATATATATATATATATATATATATATATATATATATATATATATATATATATATATATATATATATATATATATATATATATATATATATATATATATATATATATATATATATATATATATATATATATATATATATATATATATATATATATATATATATATATATATATATATATATATCTTTTAGTGTTACTTTATCCTCACATCTCTGGTGCCTAGAAACGTAATTGTTATTGATCTTACTAGGATCAGAAGGATCTTCGTGGCTTGCAACACTTGGGCTTCTGTTGGGAAGAAGGAAAAGTGGGGAGAAGGGGTACCTGCAAGACACTCTGATGCCAAATTAAAGTTTAGAGAGAAAGTGCATGTGTGGAGTTAGACTGAATAGAATAGTGTACCTGACTCTCTAGTGAAAGAGAGTATTTATAACTTAGCGCTGGACCAAGATCCACATTTCGGGTCAGATATCTAGGCCCATAATGGAGACTTCCAGGATCCTACGTGGGTATAGGAGACCAGTTTGTAGTCTCTATCTTGGTTCAATTGCCACATGATCTTTGGAGGTAGTAGACCAGTTATTTATGGGAGTATGATGAACTTCGAGATATTCGGAGGAACGTTGTCCACGTACCTTTGGTGGGCAAGTGAAAGAGATGTCCTTGATGAGCACATGGAAGAGACGTCTTCGACGGGTACATGGAAGAGGCATCCTCTATGGCACGTGTGGTAGGCATCCTTTACGATCACGTGTGGGAGATGTTCCCCAACAGTCACAGCTATCAGGTCTTGTTGGGCCTTGCTCGCAACAACATTGGGTTGTCCCTGCCCAATGGAAGACCAAGTGCATGTCCAATCCTCAACAGGTTATTAGGCCTTCCTTATTGTAGAGTTGATTTGGTCCTTGCTTGACGGTATACCGAGTACATGCCCAGTCCTGAACAAGATCCCCCCAAGTCTTTTCTCCTAAGTAGAAGAGTTATAACTTTTATGTCAGCTCGGGTGTCAAGGATTATCATTAATCCTCAACAGGATTGATAGGGACAAGTTCCTCGACTTTCAGTCTAGCATATGCAATAAAGGGGGATATGATTACCCAGATTAACAACCTTCCTCGCAGATGAGTACCGCTCGAGGAATTTTGCATGGACAATGAGGATGTTGCATAAGTATCATGGTCGGGAGTTAAGGCGTGCCCTGGAGAGTGTTCTCGCGATTCTCATGGCCGCACTACATGGGTATTCCCGTGAAGGACGAAGTTTTCCATGCTCGTCATCTGGGGAGTAAAAAAATTGGTCGGAGTTTGCTTGTTGGACCATGTGTCACAGCCTTTAAGGCATAATGATTAGCCTAAGTGTAGGGGTAACTATGGCCTAGGCGCGTGGTAGGTTGCGTATCGAGGCACTAACACGCCACTCGAAGTGAAGTTTCTCCTCCCATGTCAAGTTTACAAATAGGCATAGGCTCTCATTTGCG